CCCCCCCCCCCCCCCCCCCCGACCCACCCGCCGCAAATCACTGCTACCTCTATTTAGCACAGAGCGCAGCCCCGTGCTCACGTAAGCCCAACCAACGCCCTTCGGCTATAGAACCGTGCAACAAAGAAACACTACCGTGCCACTACCTCGCATTTTCGACCCCCCGCCCCCCACCTTCTTGCGAAGAAGCGTGACGAACGTGTTCCGCAGGCCGTAGTGCAAGGCTTGGTGCATCCCCCTGGTAGCCACGCTTACCACCAGCTTCTCCAGATCGTCGACCGACCTCGACCTTGCCGCGCTCCCGTTGCCGCCAACTCCACCACCGCTGGCCGAATTTTCCTCTTTGATAGACATCGAGCGTTGACTCCCGATGCCGGCGAATCCGCTGCCTTTCGCGCCGATGGAGTCAGGGTCCAGGTTTACATGTGGCGGCAAGGTCCTTCTATCGCCGCCGCCGCCGCCACCGCCGCCACCGCCGCCACCGCTATTTCCACCGAAACTCGTCCCGCCGCCGCCCCCTCCTGCCGGCGACGGCCTCGAGTCCCTCCGCCCGCCCCCTCCTCCCGCCCTGACGATGCTGCTGCCGTAGTCGTCCTTGATGCAGGCCGGGAGCGGTTTCGTCGATACCCTCCTCCTCGCGGTCGGTCGGCAAGGGGCCGCACTGCCGCCGCTCGTGTTGGCAGAGGAGGAGGAGAATGTGGCGACGGAGGCGGCGCCGGCAGCGGTGGCGGACGGGAAGTAGAACGACGAGGGCGGCGTGGAGGACGATCCACGGGTCGACAGCCCACTGCCACCGCCGCCGCCGCCGCCGGCGGTGTTCCCCCAGACTCTCTTTCCGGGACCATTAAATACCCCGTCATCCGTGTCCATCGGGTTGCTGCTGCTGCTGCTGCTGCTGCCGCCGCTGTTTCTCTCACTCCCTCCGGTGCTGTTGCTGGAACTACCACCGGACACGCCTCCCCCACCCCCCACGGCTTGCTGCATCTGGAGGTTGCCGCCGCCGCCGCCACGGTTGACTGACGCGCCGGATGGGGGCCTTCCGGTCGTCGACTGCTTCTTCGACGTGCCGCCGTTCGAGATGGCAACGCTACACCGCGGGCGAGGCGCCGAGGTGGTGGCCGTAGCCGAAGACGATGCCGACTGCAGCTGCTGCTGTTGCCCTCGGCTGTGGGCACTCGGAAGGGTGGCTTGGATGCTGAACGACAAGTTGGTAAGGTTCGGGGCCGACCCCACTCGGCTCCATATCATCGAGGGTGAGGCCGTCCTGCCGTCGCCGCTGTTGTTGTTGTCGCTGTTGGCAGCGGCATCGGTCGAGCCCGCTGACATGCGGCCTGCGGCAGCGGGTACGCAAGAGGAACGATCCTCTGATACCCGCCTCTTCTTGGTTGGGGACGTCCCAGATGTCGCCCCGTTGCAGCTAGGAATCACCGGCTCCATCGTCGGAGAAAATGGACCGGAAACCACCCATGGCTGCTGCTGCTGCTGCTGCTGCTGCTGCTGCTGCTGGGGCTGTTGCTGTTGGATGTTGAGAGTTGGGGGCTCCGCGGGCGGCGCAGCGGCGCCGAGGACCGGCGTGTTGTCGTTGCCGCACATCATGAAGTCAAGGAGAGCCTTGTTAGTCGAGAGGCGAGAGAAGAAGACAGACACGACGGCAAATGGACGGAGGAATAAGGTAGGATGCTTGTGAAACGATGTACTGTTCCAGTACAGTCGGGAGGGATAAACAACGCCACCAACGTTCGCCAAAATACATTGGCCGGCTTGGGTGTTCGTTTTTGCATACGGCCGCAGGGACGTTCGCCACGAGGCCGGGCGATACATAGCGAGAGGCACTTTCATACCAAACCACGCGCGGCATGCGATCGATTCATGGCACCGCAAGCAAACGCCGCGCGGCGTATGTACGTAATTGACCCGGAGAAACAAGCGCGCGTGAGGATCGTCATCCAGAAGATTAGGCGTCTCTGATGGACGGGAAACCGTAGGAACGGGATGAGGCGGTGTGAGTGTCATGGGACGCTGAACCGAACTTACAGCATCTACGCCGGGCTCGATGCCGGACAGGAGGTCCGCCATGTCCGTGGTGTCTGCGACGTCCGACGATAGCACGCGGCTGCCGGGAGAGCTGGAAGCGTTTGTCGTGAGAGAGGTTTCATAGTGCAGGGAGAGGCGTATTCACGTTGGGCGTGCCCGTTTTGTCGAGGAAACAGTGAAAACAACGAGGTGGCCAAGGCGCTACTGGGGAGGGGCGGGGGGGGGCGCGCGCGCGTAATTTCTCTACCATACGTCCAAGCACTTGAGGAAGGGGGGGCATGCGACGGGAATAAACAGGCACACGCGGTCGGGTGACCCGGCCAGGCCAGAAGACAACGGTGGAGGGTTAGTGTAGTTTTCAGCCACTCCTGTGACACACACTCCACCTCTCTTTTCCTCGCCTACGAAATAGCATCCCCTCCAGCTCGTCGTTGCTTCTTGCGGGCGCTGAAGCCTTGCCGCTACTGCCACCACTAGAGGTCGCGTCCGCCATCGTGGGAGATGAGAGCAGGGACGAGGTACCGCTCCTGGCCTCAGAACTCCCCCCCCCAGCCGCGGATGCCTCGGCCTCGCTCCCGGCACCAGAGCCACCGCGGATTGGGTTCGTCGACCGTGGTTCGGCCTTGATACCACTGCCGCCACCTGTTCCCGGCGCCGTGCGGCTGTTGATGTTGTTGCCGTTGCTACTTCCCGGGGACGAGGCCAAGGCGTTCAGGGTAGGGGGGAAGGACAAACCGTCCCCACCGCCGCCGCCGCCGCCGCCGCCACTGCCGCCGGTGCGGGCTTTGTCGCAAAGCTCGTCTATGCGCTGGTGGTACGACTCGTCGACCAGAGGCTTCACGTCCGCCAGCAGGTAGACTCGCGGAGAGAAGAGCACGTAGAGTTCGTCCAGGAAGGCGTCCACGTTGAGCCTGCGTGATCGCAGGACATGAGACAAACGGGCCGGCGGCAAAGTCAATACGCAAGTGCGTGGGGCAGTATGCCCGGAGTGAGCTGAGAAAAAAAACTCCTCAGGGGGGAGGGGGAGCGTAGTACGTGTAATTTCGGGTCAGTTACTTGAAACGGCCGGACTTTGTGAAGGCCCTTGCTGGTATAAAATAGCGAATCGATTTTTCCGGTACTACCCTGTAAGGACGTAGTTGTCTATGCGCAAGCACGTGGCCGGGCTGTGAGTGCTTGTTGTTGTTGTTGTTGTTGTTGTTGTTGTTGCCTTAAAAAAGGCGGTACATGCACGTTCGAAAGGGGTATCTCCTACTGTAGTTGCTTCGGGGCGCAAGCGAGCACTTTCCCGGCATCAAACGTGTACTACTGCTGTACATACAACGGCGGTTGTATATGCATAGTCTACATATATGAAACCGCATACCATCGTTTTTGCCGCACTGTTGGGAACATGAGACGGGGATGGAATATAGCTAACCGAGGTATCGGCACGGGAAGAATCGCGTAGGGGCGCTCTATAAATGCTGTACAACGTTCACGTTTTGACCCTCGCAACTATTTAAAAATATTGTTTTCCGACGACGGACGGCTTGGGCTAGTCAAAGCCACGCCCTGTGCAATTTCGCCATGTAATTAAATCCTCGCCCAGTGTCGGTGCCTCTCCTGTACATCGCTCTACTACTGCTGTATACCTATCTTTGTCAACTTTACGTACATCAACCAAAGATACATTGTGGTTAGTGTCGACGGCTGCTAGCAAGCAGCACGCCCGGGAGTGGACACGAGCTGTAGCGGGGAAGAAGGCATCCCGGCAAAAATGTCGATCCTCGCACTGCACACACACGCAAGCTTGAGGTGTCCACCATCCAAGATGAAAAAAACGCTACTGCTGTTATGTAGTTTGTCGACAGCAGTGTTGATAGTATTGTAGGTGAGCTGTGTGAGTGGCATCTCCAGCTATAGACTAAGCTTGCGCTGCGTGCACTGTCCGAAAGACGGGTTCAACATGGTACAGTACAGGCTCCATGGTTGGCGGTCAGCTAGCTGTACATGTACAGACAGCATGCTCCTGCAAACCTTGTGATTGTGTTGTTCCCGTATCTGAGATTCGGCGGAAAAAACGAATAACACGGTACGTTCGTTCGCAAAACTAATGACACGTTCGTTCGGAACACACAGTTTTTGAGTAGGGCTCCAAATTTTAGATACGAACGTTCCCTGGAAACTTCGTGCATGAAAATTTTTTCGTATGTCAGCGGTTTCATGTAATTGGCTGTGGGTCAACAGTCCTCCCATGAAGTTCCCCTGTCCACAGGTGCTGTTATTTTTTTTGTGATGCAATGCGTGACAGCCTAACTGCTGTGCACCTTGCTTGATGACAAGGGGCTCTCACTGCTGCTGCTGCTGAGTGTGCATGCATGCATGCGCGTGTCCGTGTCTGCGTCGCTCCCTCAACCCCAGCACACGAAATCGCACCACACCAGCACGGAGACAGGAAGTGATTACTGTACACTGGCCGACGACAGCCTCTGAACAAAGTGCTAGTCTATGTCGCGTTTCAAGGGTTCGGGAGAGCGACGGGGGTTTGGGACCGGGAGGCACATCTGATTCAAACGCTCTTCTTTCTAGTAGACACCAGAGGAAATACTCGTGCGCGCGGAAGGACGCGCCCGCCTTCACCAGGAGGCCACTNATGCATGCATGCGCGTGTCCGTGTCTGCGTCGCTCCCTCAACCCCAGCACACGAAATCGCACCACACCAGCACGGAGACAGGAAGTGATTACTGTACACTGGCCGACGACAGCCTCTGAACAAAGTGCTAGTCTATGTCGCGTTTCAAGGGTTCGGGAGAGCGACGGGGGTTTGGGACCGGGAGGCACATCTGATTCAAACGCTCTTCTTTCTAGTAGACACCAGAGGAAATACTCGTGCGCGCGGAAGGACGCGCCCGCCTTCACCAGGAGGCCACTGCGTGCTCTTCCTCCTCTCTCTGCTCTTCTTCTTTGCTGGCGGCGTTGCCACCACCTCTAGGTTCGTGCGCTCTTCCTCCCCCTTGCCTCAATCTGACGGGCGTGTTGCTGACCTCAAGCCAGCCGGAAACAAACCCAACTTTCTGAACATGCAGCCTCCCTGTTTTTGTGTTGGTGGCGCGCCAACTCCGAGAGAGACCTTTCGCTGGGCGCTGGCCTTCTCTTTGGCCGCGCTGATATGTTCTCAGCAGACTGCTGTGTGTGCCTGCGGTGGTGCGTGTGATGTGTTACTTCGAAGAAAGTTGCCAAATAAAAACATCGTTAACAATTTTCAATTTTCCACAACAAACCAAGCCTCCCTCGGCTCTTGAGCCTGTAATTTTCCTTGGTGTGGGTTCTGGCGAAACTGAGAGGAGCGACCCTCAGAACGACGGCTTCACTCAAAATTTTGTTTGTTTGTTTGTCTTCACATTAAACCGTATGTCAGTTGCTAAATGCCAAAATCTAGCAAAAGACTCTCAGCCCGTGGTCACGAAAGTGCTAGAGCCATCTGAGGATCTAAAGAACACGCACACATCTGACGAGAAAAAGGTATGCAAGAGCCCGAAGAGGTACACCTAAAAATCCCTGCAGCACCGTATGCGTGCCCAAAAACTGAACTGCACGTCCGTCCCACCGTTCGACTACAGCAGTAGCATCACCCCCTCCCTGTCCCACTCTATACCAAAACGGAAGATTGCCGACTACAGCATAATGCTGTCTGAAGTGCTGTCTGTACAAAAACACCATGGTAGGCATGGAACAAGCAGCTGGCGGGGCACAAAGCTGCTGTCTGAAGTGCTGTCAGAATGTGTCTGCGGCCGTACAGTGAAAAAGAAC